TGGGGCCTAGCTCCCTGTGATCCCAAGTGACTCTGATGCACACTCAAGTTTAACAGAAGGCAGGTCCATTGCAGAGCATCTTTACCTTTGAACGTCAGTTTTAACCACCTTACTGTGACAATTAATATGCACCAAATCCGTCATCCCCACTATAGCGGGTTGAATAGTGTTCCTCCAAAATTCAAGTCCACCCAGAACCTGTGATTGTGACCTTATTAGGAAATAGGGTCTTTGCAGATGAAACCTAGTTAAGATGAGGTCACACTGGATTAGAGTGGGCCCTAAATCCAATGTGACTGGTGTCCTTATAAGAAAAAAAGAGGACACACAGAGAGGGACAGACAGAGAAGGCTGTGGGATGACAGGCAGAGCTTGAGTGGTTCATCTACAAGCCAAGGACTGTTGGCAACCATCAGAAGAAGGGACCAGGCAGGGTTCTCCCCGAGAGCCTTCAGAGAGAGCATGGCCCTGCTGACATCCTGGTTTTGGACGTCTAGCCTCCAGAATGGTGAGAGAATAAATTTCTGCTCTTATAAGCTACTCTGTGATATTTTGTTACGATCAGCCAGAGGAAAGCAATAAGCCACTGCCGTCAAGTCGATTCCAACTCACAGCAACACTAAAGGACAGAGTAGAACTGCCCAACAGGGTTTCCAAGGCTGTTATCTTTACGGAAGCAGACTGCCACATCTTTCTCCCGTGGTGCAGCTGGTGGGTTTGAACCACTGACCTTTCGGTTAGCAGCTGACTGCTTTAACCACTGCACCACCAGGGCTAGGAAAGCAATACACCTTGCAAATGAGGACAAAAGCACCATAAGAAATAGCTTTTTTTCTTTTTTTTAAATCAAGAACTACTATTAATAAACCAATAAAAGGAGAAAGTTCCAATTCTAACTTTGTATAATTCTGAAAAATGACTGGAAGCTCGTTTTAGAATCTCCATTAATACATCTACATCTATCTCTATCTTGTTTTTTTATTTTGTTGTTGTTACTGGGAATATACACAGCAGAACATACACCAATTCAACAATTTCTACATGTACAGTTCAGTGACACTGATTACGTTCTATGAGTTGTGCAACCATTCTCACCCTCTTTTTCTGAGTTGTTTCTCCCCCACTAACATAAACCCACTCACCCCTAAGGTTCCTGTCTAATCTTTCTAGTTGTTGTTGTCACTTTGATCCCATATAGTTCTTAAAAGAGCATAATGCTCAAGGCAGACGTTTTTCACTAGTTAAGCTAGACTATTGTTTGGTTTTAAGAAGACTTCAGCAGGTATTTTTAAGATTTAAAGATTATCTCAGGGCAATATTTCAGGGGTTCATCCACCCTCCATAGCTCCAGAAAGGCTGGATTCCATGAGAATTTGAAATTAATTTGAAATTCTGGTCTTCATTTTACTCCTTTTGATCAGGATTCTTCTATAGAATCTTGGATCAAAATGTTCAGTAATGGTAGCCGGGCACCATCCACTTCTTCTGGTCTCATGGTAAAGGGGGCAGTTGTTGATGGAGGCAATTAGCCTCACATTCTAATTCTCCTCCTACTCCTTACTTTCCTTCTTCCTCTGTTGCTCCAGGCAAATAGAGACCAACTGTTGTACTTTGGATGGCCACTTGCAAGCTTTTAAGACCCAAGGCACTACGCAAGGAACTAGGAGGTAGAACAGAAGCACTAAACACGTTATCAGGCCAGTTAACTGGGATGTTCCACGAAACCATGACCCTAAACCTCCAAACCAAGAAACCAAATCCCATGAGGTTTTTGATTGTACATAAGCAGCCTCAGCTGCTCTTAAGAAACAGCTTTTGAAAGATTCAATCAAGCAACTCAAGTGGACGGGTTTAACACCTTCCAGTAAGTAGTGACACTTGGTGGTGTAAAAGGTTCACAATAATTAATTTGGGACAAGAACACTCAGCTGGAAGATAAGTGAGAATTTCACAAGGCAGTAACACATACAATTTCCCTCATAATTGCTGTTCTAAATATTTATGTTCCTACCCATTCAAAATTTTAAAGAGATTTCTATTATAGCTCTGCTTTCGCTCCTTGGAAAGATGATGGTGCAGGAGTTTCACAGAGCTTCAGTGAAGATAACTTCATGGATACCACGTAAAACACATCATAAATAATCTGGTGATCCCATATGTTGATAACCATTTAAAAAATTAGGGGGAAAAAGTTCTTTGGACAACTACTTTAATATACTGCCATTTAAAAATCCATATATGTATTTCTTAGAAGCTTATAAATTCAGTGATTAGGATAAGTGAAGCCTCTTTGTGGCTACATCTGTGTTACTTCCTTCAAATACCTGGTTAGATTCACTGCTTCTTTACGTCTTCACCAGGGAGCAATCGGAGTTAGAAACGTGAAGCCAGATTTAAATCAAGTGTGGTTTTGCTCTTGCTTAGCAACTTCAGCCCAGGCTGCCAGGAGAGATAGAACACACTCAAACGTGAATGTGGATGTAGATAAAGAACCACATGGCTGAACTACAAAACACTATGCCCAAGCAAAACACTCCATCAGAGTACGATTGCTTTGACTATTGCATTCCATCCTTCAATGCTACCCTTCACTGACTGTACAGGTTTTTATAGCATTTCTCTTGTCTGAGTTGTGACAGTATCTCGAAGTGAGTTCAGAACCTTCTGATAAACGTCCAGAACATCCTGAGCAGTGGGCCTTTCTGTAGGAGTCTTGCTCTTACACGCCTTATGAATATCAAACAGATGGAATCGCACCATATCACTCCCTTCAACATGCCCCAAAAGGAAACTGGTGACGTCGGGAATCCTCCAGATGTCGATCTTCTCATCATATGAAGGCATGAGGTCATCGTGAAAAGGCAGATCCTCTCCGTAGGGCCACAACTGCTCTGGA